ATCCCTCGTGCTCTCTGAAACAAAGATTTACCCACGGTAGCTATCTGTGAAGGATGGTGGTGAGAATCACCGTTTAAATATCTATCTGTATGGGTCTTTTTTCCTATACACAGTATGGCTCAAGGTGTTATCAGGATTCCGAATTACTAACACATCTAGAAAAGCTAAGGAATTGTTTGCCTCTAACTCTATTGTGAACTGAATTTTAGAATTTATAGAGTTAAGATGGTCTAAAAATGCAGTTACTTTATCTAAAGGTAGAATTGTGAAAGTGTCGTCTACGTACCGCTTGTAGAATCTTGGATTTATGGGAGAAGTAAGCAGGGCTTTCTCCTCAAAGTCTTCCATGAATATGTCGGCGACAATGGGAGATACAGGTGAGCCCATCGCCACATCATCTACTTGCTTGTAGAACTCCTCCTTCCACAATAGGTAGCCAGATGTAAGGCAGTGTCTGAGTAATACTGCATATTCTACGGGCATGTTGTTTTCTTCCAGCCTTCTAGTTACAATTGAGATGCAGTCTTCAACCGGTAAGCATGTAAACAATGACTGCACATCAAAACTGACCACAGTTTCATTGTCTGCCAGACGTAGGTCTTTAATCTCGCTGATAAAATAATACTCTCACCGCTCAGGAGACATACAAGAGCACACATAAAGGATTCCTACCATTTTGTCAGCATCCAGATGGTGTGGATGTTATCGGGACGTTTGCCGTGTAGTGCGTTCACGAAATTTGGCGGCTGGGATTAATCCGAACAATTCCTCAGAGCACTCCCTGTGATAGATGCGATAAAATACGCAAAGAGATGCAACATCTCTTCGCAGCGCCAGTGAATCAAGCCGATCGAAAAGCACTCGGTCGTCGACGATTCGAGCCGCTCTGCGCTGGCGCGGTCAAGTGGAAGGAGCTGGTACTGGGGAGCCCCAGCCCAGAGATGGGAACAGTATTCCATGTGCAGCCGAACCTGCGCCTTGTAAAGTTGCAGGCGGTGTGCCGGCATGAAATACTGTCCCGCTCTGCTGAGCACGCCAAGCTTTTTAGAGGCCAATTTGGCCTTCCCTTCCAAGTGACCACGAAACTGCACGTCACTCGATATGTCGACGCTGAGGATTCCGATACTGGCTGAGTCAACAAGGGGATTGCCTTGAAACTGAGGGGATACGACAAAGGGGTTCTTTTTAGCGGTTAACGCGCAAACTTGTGTCTTCTGGGGGTTAAACTGGACTAGATTTAGTCGTCCCCAATCCGAGACTCTATTCAGCAAAGACTCGACTTCAGACACAAGTTTGTCCCGGCACTCGGAGACGTTTTCCCGAGAAATATTGGCTCGGCCGGTGTAAAGAGCATCACCAGTGCTGCCATCTGCATAGCGATGAATGTTACGGGTATGCAACATATCATTGATATGCAGAAGAAACAGCGTTGGCGATAGCATGCAGCCCTGTGGAACACCAGCATTAATAGGCTTGCAATCGGAGCTTGCACCGTCTACAACGATCTTGATGCTCCGATCTGCAAGAAAGCTGGTGACCCAATCGCACAATTTCTCGGGAAGCCCATAGGAAGGGAGCTTCGAAAGAAGCGCTTTGTGCCAAACCCGATCGAAGGCCTTCGCAATGTCCAAACTAACGGCCAATGCCTCCCCCTTGAACTCTACTGCCTCCGCCCATCTGTGAGTGAGGTAGACCAGAAGATCACCAGCTGACCGACCACGGCGAAAACCGTATTGGCGGTCACTAATCAGCTGGTGATCTTCAAGGTATACCTCATGAGCTGGCAGTTTACAATGGACTCCATTGTTTTGGAGAACAAGGAGGTGATGGCGATTGGCCGGTAGTTGGACGGGTCAGAGCGGTCGCCTTTTTTAGGGATCGGGTGGACGAAAGCCGTCTTCCATGATTTTGTGACTACGCCTAGGGAGTAGGAGTACCGGAAAAGACGCGTTAAAACCAGTGCCAACTCTGGAGCACACGTCCTCAGCAAAATTGGGGGGATTCCGTCAGGCTCACTCGACTTGTGGATGTTCAGGGAGAGGAGTGCTTTGCGAACCAAGCGCTGTGTGAACTGCACTTCCGGCATGGAGCACTCACGCCGCGGGATGGTCGGCGGCGTACTCCCCCCGTCATCGAGAGTCGAGTTCGACGCAAAGAAAGAGCCTAGAAGATCGGCTTTCTCCTTTGCAGTATGGGCCAGTGATTCGTCCTCCCTGTGCAGAGATGGAAGAGATGGCTGACAGAAATTCCCCTGGACAGCCTTGGCGAGAGACCAGAATGCACGGGTTCCAGAAGGAAGGCGAACTAGTTTCTCGCCAATTCTGCCTATGTGCTCTGACTTTGCCTTGGCAATGACTCTTTTGAAGGACCTAGAGGCAGTATTATACTTCTTTTTTAGAGCGCTGGTGTTTACATCCCGGGACGCTGATGCATCAACCCAGGCTTGGTAGCACTCCTGCTTATAGCATGATGCTATTTTACAGGAGCGACCAAATTTGCGGAGCGGCTGAGATTTGCCTCCAATGGGCACCACAGAGGAAGGAATAAAAAATTCCATACCCTGAAGTACCACATCAGTAACAGAATCCGCAACAACGTTGGGATCATCCGGCGAGAAGCAAACCCGCCCCCAAGGGTAGGATGCAAAGAAAGACCGCATCCCATCCCAATCGGCTGACCTATAGTGCCAAACACGGCAGCAGCCTGCAGAATGCAACCGCGATTTCAGCGTGAGTGGCACAACACTCCGGACCAGACAATGGTCCGAGGAGCCTAAAGGGGCGTCGACGGAAATATGATATCCGTCCGGGTGAGAGGTCAGCAGAAGGTCCAACAGGGAAGGTGCATGATCCTCCACATCTGGGATCCGCGTAGGCGAAGAAACCAGTTGTGTCAGACCATATGCCAAGGCAAAATCATGAACAGATCTCCCCGCATGATCGGTTAAACGTGAACCAAGCCATTCGGCGTGATGGGCGTTAAAGTCGCCGAGGATCACGATCTCAGCGGAGGGGATCTGCTGTAGCAACGAATCAGCAGCCATTTGGACATGGTCGAAGAGTCGGTCTGTTTCGGCATTACCGCTATGGGACCTATAGAGGCACCCGTAGACGCGCGGATGGACGTCGCTGTCTACGCGTAGCCAAAGGATGGACAGGTCCGAACCTTCAAGTCTGCCGAGGCAGTCTGCAGTCGAGAACAGATGTCCTCTCTGACGTAAACGCAAACTCCAGCCCGAGGCACAAAGGAGTGTTCCAGTTTGTACCCCGGGTAGGAGAGATACGAGACATCAGCCGGAGAGGACACCTGCGTCTCGGTCAGAAAGAGCAGAGCCGGCTTCGCCGTCTCGAGATGGTAGTGGACGGCGTTTAGGTTAGAGTGAAGTTCCCTGATATTGCAGAAATTCACGGACAGCGTGGCAGGGGTCGCCTTGGTCTTGTTGCTCCGTTTGCCCCGAGCAGTTGTAGTCTTGAGCGGAATTTTGCCCCCCCCCCCCCCCAGAATACGCGGGGCAACCTGAGCACCCACGCTCAGAAGTGGAGAAACATGGTCGTGGATGCTCAGCGAGGGATTCTCCAGGGGTGCTGGTACCCTCCTGGGGTAGTCTATCATTATTTAATTCCGCTACCATGTTGATGGGGCGGGGGGGGGGGGGCTTTGGGCCTCCGGCCACCTGCACTCGCCAGACGAAACGCGGAAGCAGAGCTTCCACTTCACGCCGGTATTCTGTGAGGTCGTGGTACCACCCCGGTTTGAGCCGGCCCATACGTGCAACAGCAAAACTGCCGCGTGGCTCTACCCACTGTTATTTTACCATCAGACAAAGTAACTGTATTTTTTAGAACATCTTAATTTCATAAACTCTAAAATTCAATTTACTATGGAATTAGAGGCAAATAATTCCTTAGCTTTCCTAGGTGTGTTAGTCATCCGAAATCCTAACAACACCATAGGTCATACTGTGTATAGAAAAAAGACTAATACAAACCGATACTTAACTGGTGAATCTCACCACCATCCTTCACAGTTAGCAACCGTGGGCAAATCTTTGTTACAGAGAGCACTAGGAATCTGTGACAGCAAACACCTGGCCGCCGAGCTTCAACACGTCAAGCAGGTTCTGCAAGACAACAAGCTTTGGGTCCCGTGCCTCCGTCACAGTGACCGAGTGAAGCCGGCCACAGTCGAGCGTGTGCCTGCTGTACTACCATATGTTAGAGGCGTCACAGACAAGATTGGCTACATCTTGAAGCGAGCTTCTATTAGAACATTCTACAAGCTGCCGAAGAAGATTAGTCAGTTCTTACCATCCGTCAAGTGTCATATTCCTCTACAAGATGTAGGAGAGTAAAAGCTTGATTGTGATTGTGGTCTCTCATATATAGGGCAAACAAAGAGATCAATTAGAACCCGCGTAAAAGAACACATAGCTGACGTGAAGCATCAACGTTCCGGGAAGTCTGCAGTTTGCGATCATATCCTAGATGGCCCCAACCATTACATCAGATTTGATAGACCACAAATCCTCGCGAAAGGACATCGATTCCTACCAAGGATGATACGTGAGACTATTGAAATCAAAAAACATCCTAATTTCAATAGAGAAGGAGGCTGGGTACTACCACCTGCTTGGGATCCTATAATTAATAAAATTAAAACTAAACCCAAGCATACCACTGCAAGACTTCAAAACACAGTTAGTTAATTCTGCGTAGATCGGACCAAAGACAATAATTAAAATGCTGAAGGTACTCCGGGTTAACTTTGACATCGGGACGTCAGTCACCTCAGTCCCCCGTGACCATGGGTGCTGGAAAGCACCCGAAACGTCGGGTATTAAAATTAATATAAATAAAACGCGATAAAATCCGTAAAAGTAGTTTTAATCAACTTTGTTTTACATAACTTATGCATGTATATGCAACTTTAGAATATTTCTAGACTTTTTTTGATAAAATTTTGCGATAATCATATTTATTTAACAAGTTAATGTAGAAAATATGTTGGTGGGTCGCTATCGACCCCACGGGCATATAAGATACTTATATTTGGCGTTTTGCAGGTCTCGTCGATTGCTTTCCACTACTGAAATAGCTGATGCCCTCGAAGCTTTGGAGGAGGTGGAAGACATTCAAGGTATAGATGTTTATATAGATCCACCATGTAACGGTGAAATTTCGGATGGTGACTCGAGGGAAGAAGACTGTTGCGATTTTGAGAGATTGAATCGGCACCAGCTTCTCGCGAGTGCTGAGCTAGTAATTCACACGTCGAAAGATGACCAGCATGTTGAAATCGAGACTATTGAACCCGAAATCTCTTCTCCTACTCTTGGTACGGTACTTAGAAGTATAAGAAGAAAGAAGTATAAGTAGAATCCATTCATGGACTTATAATGGAACAGACTACCGTAAAAGATTTTCGACGCTCTGTTACTCAAGGCTTGATGACAATGAAAGATGTTAGTCAGAAAAGAAAGACTTCTACAACTAATACTTCGGAAGGTGGCCCTTCCAAAAGACGGAAATCTGACTACTCCACTATAAAAGACGTTCGCTTGGGTAATAGAGGCATCCATTGGCCTTCGTTTGTAGAAAACAGGGGAAGGTGTGAAGTTTGTAGTATGAAAAAGATTCAGTCAAAACCTCATAGTAAATGTTCCCATTGCAACGTGTTATTGTGTGTAAATGAAAAGAAAAATTGTTTTACTGAATACCACGAGGTTAATTTGTAATTAAAAACCTATCTTTTTAATTACTACTAAGTCAATATTGGGTCTCATTATTTTTGTAGTTTCTGTCAAAGTTCCTAACATTGTAATGACACAAAGTTCCTGACGGTACTTTTAAGTCTAGGTCTTAGAAATAGTACTTCTAGGTACAATAAAAATCTGAAAATAATCTGAGCGTTTCCTTTTACCTACCTTATTATGATAATGAAGTTAAAAAGCGGAAATTCGTTAAAAATCACTACCCCGGGTGGAAAGGGTTAACCAACTCTTACAATAAATAATGAACAACTCACGCAACCGACGACTATTCAAGACAGGCCTTCTACTAGTCAAGAGCAGTCTAGTAGCAGTACTACTAGTAGCAGGTCAGGCGCATGTCTATTACTTTAACAAAAACCAAGACGATGGACCAAGAGAGACTTAAATTTACCACAAAATTCAACCACCTCCTGGAACCTTCCTAACTTAGAGTATAGAAAGTGAACCTTTAGGGTTTTTTGAGTTGTTTTTCAGTGAAGATGTAATTCGACATCTTGTGAGCCATTCTGTTATATATGCAGTGTAACAGGACCCCAATACAAAGTTTACTTTGTCAGGAGATGATATTTACTGTTTCCTAGGAATTCTCATTCTTATTGGTTATGTACCTTTACCCAGACGTCGAATGTTTTGGGAAACAAATGAAGACACTCTTGTTTCAAAGTAGATGCACCGCAATCGTTTTGAGGAAATATTCAGATATTTTCATGCAACTGACAATAATAATTCGCGCCCAAATGACAAAATGGCTAAAGTTCGACCACTGCTTGATTTTCTGAATGAAAAATTCTTGATGTATACACCTATAGAAAAAAATTGCAGTATAGACGAGTCAATGATCCCATATTATGGCCGCCATGGATGCAAGCAGCATATACATGGCAAGCCCATACGGTTCGGATTCAAAGCTTGGACGGCTGCTACACGACTAGGGTACTGTCTTCATGCAAATTTATATGAGGGAAAATCTGAATAACGATCCACTGGACTTGGAGAGTTACTAAGATGATGGAAGCTATGAAAAAAGAATACCCTAAAACCCAATTTTCAGTTTTTTGTGACAATTTTTTTACCTCACCAACTCCTATAAGCAATTTGCAGGACAAGAACATCAAGGTAACAGGCACTGTGTGCCAAAATAGGATTGATAAATGACCGTTAATAGATGTCAAGTCTGTCAAAAAGCAGCAAAGAGGCTATTACGACTACCGTTTGGACACTAACGACCAAATATGTGCTGTACGCTGGAATGACAACAGTGTTGTTACTTTACTCTCCAATGAATACGGTGTTCATCCAATTCAAAAAGCAAAACGCTATTCAGCAATCGAGAAAAAAATGTTGATATTCAGCAGCCTTATGTAGTTCAACAGTATAATCGTTTTATGGGTGGAGTCGATAGACTAGATGCCAATGTTGGGACATACAGAATTGCAATTAGAGGTAAAAAATGGTATTCTAGCATTATAATGTGGATGATTGATGTAACCGTCAATAATTCTACTTTGCTCGCTAGATCAATGGGTGCTGAAGTTGACACTTTGGAGTTCAGACGTTCGATTAGCGCTCCTTGTTACAGAAGTATGGAGCGCCAAGACTTCACCCAGGACCAACGACACTGCCTGTTTTTCACAGCAATTCCTATGTCTGTTCGGAAGCACGGTGCAGATCACTTGATCATAACAGGTCAAGCACGAAAATGTTGTGCTGTTTGTAAAAAAGAAAACCACCAAAATATGTAAAAAATGTGGTATAAATCTACATGACAAGTGTTTTGCCAATTTTCATGAATAATTTTGTTACGTTTGTGATGAATAAAAACTGACTTAAAAAAATTTCTTTCGTTTTATTTTGATGTTGGATTTCCATACAAATTAGTAAGTTTATTTTTCCCAGTGGGTCGTTAACGACCCATTAAAAACAACTAGTTTCCAATGCTGAAAACCTGAATTTACTGCCTTTTGCTAGTATCTAGCACTATTTTATGCACTTAATCCAAAAAATCATAAAAATTCATTGCTAAAAAAGTTAAGGGCACATATGGGTTAAGATGCTATGCCAGATCATCAGACAAATACGGACCTCCAACATCACTTTGAGGTGGTGGATGATCTTTGTATTGCAGTAACGCAAACATCTCCATCAAATCAATTTTTTCAAGATAAAAGAAAACACTGAAGCACATGCTAATTAATGGTTTTGGACGATGGCTTTAATTTCGACGACGAAGATTCACTGCTATTTGTTACTTTATAAGCAGCACTCGTAAAGGAAAACATGAAAGAGGACAAGATAGAAAACATCGGAAAGAAAGAGAAAAAAATATCGAATAGAATAAAGACATAGAAGAGCAATGTAAGAATGGAGACATAAAAGACCAATTTGGGAAAGAAGTCATAGAATAGCAAGTAGAAATAGAAAACTTAATAAAAACGATAGCAGGAAAAAAATCAATAGCAATAAAAGACCAATTTGTAGAGTTCTCTGAATCTTCTACAGATGACTGAGCTATAATAAGCTATACACTCTTTTGCAATTGATCATTCACGAGCGTGACAAAATGAAAAATTAAAAAAAGTATATTTTATACTAAAATTTAAAAAAAATTTAAATAAAATTTTAAAAAACCTTAACGTGTCGTAACCTTACAGTGGCCGGCGGGTCGTTGTATAGATGGCTGCATACTTTGACGAGGGCGCGCTTTCAAGTAAGTATATTATTCTGTCACACTTTAATATTGACTGATTTGTTTTCATTGTTTTGGCTAATAATAGCCTGTTTCCAGTTACATATGCCTACCTAGACCTTGCAAGCAATCAAAAATTCACACCATACAGCATCGCCTGCTAAGCAAAAACCAGCACGACTTCATAGACATGACTCAATTAACTTACGTGACTTAAGAGTATTCAAGACAGTATAAAACGCAAGGTCTAATTGTTAAGAGAGCCCAGTAGTAATTAAGTTAGTTTGTAAGTTAACTAGTCTAGTACTCATGTGTACTTACGTTGTCACAGTAGTTAACTTGTAAATTAGAAAATAAAATTAATATAGAAAGTCTTCGTCTCCTTGCAATAATTTATCTTATACTATATATATATATATATATATATATATATATATATATATATATATATATATATATATATATATATATATATATATATATATATCATATATTTATAGATATATATATATATATATATATATCATATATTTATAGATATATCATAAATTAACAATTTCAAAGCATGGATTTTCACCTTGTCCTTAAGTTTATTTTTCTCTTAACGAAGATATTTTGACCTTATACAAGACGTAAAAGATTTTGACATTGAGGGTCGTTACGATAGTGGTGAAAAAGACTTTGACCCTGTATTGTTTCAAGATATCCTAGACAAGGAAAACGAAGATACCACCTCATCCTCAGCCTCCTCCAACACAACAATCACCTAATGAGGCAATTAATCAAAACTTGTCTACCAAACTGTTGCATGGAATCAAACTGCTTTCAATGACAAGGATTGTAACAATTCCTACTCACTTTCAGGACTAGTAAGGACACCTAGTCAATATATTCAAGACCACTTTCATACAGATTTTTTCGAACTTGCCGTTCTTCATAAAAGATAGCTTGAGCTCTGCGACAGCTGTCAGTAAAATCACGCCTATGAAGTCCTGAATTTCTTAGTAGTACAGACAGGATCAAGCTATCTTTTATGAACTATAATTTACCACATTCGCGAAATCGAAACAGTTTAAAACTACACCACAGAAGATAGCAAAGTTGTTCGGAATTCTTTTGATTATGGGCGTCATCACGTATCCCCCCCACCAATGTACTTGCGATCATCTACGGATCAGGTTTTATTTTCAAAGAGGATGCGTCGTGACCGATTTCTTCTATTGAGAAATTCCCTTCATGTCTAATCCAATTTGCAACCTATCATCTACTAAGTTCGTGATACCTGTTATAAGCTAGAAAGAGTACCTGGACACTATAGTATTTACGAACAAACGACGCCATTCACGGGACGATGTGCATTAAGGCTAGTCGTTTTCCAATATTTGGAATAGGTTTACAATTATTCTAAAAACATTTTCTAAAATACATCTAGCTCTTGAAAGCCTGTAATTGTAAATGCGTCTTTCCACATTAAGTACATTTTGATGAATTGGTGTCGTGATTTCCTGTGAGAACGAAAAAGCTTGATCTCCAACTAAAACGTAGGGCAAATTTTAGCAACTTACATTTGATGCTCTTGGCAGATTCAAAGATTTGTTCATTAGTTTCCGATAAAAATCAGTGTACTGAAACACACCAACAACCATCTGACACTCGTCAAAAATAAAAATAAATTAATTCATAGTTTGAATTGGCTACCCCAAGTAAAACTCGATTGTCGAATCCTCTGTAGTTATGAAAGTATGAACCAGCGCCAGGAGGTAGTTTATTAGCAATATGTTTTCCATCTCCAGCACCTATACAATGTGGAAACTTTCCAATGTACATGGGTGTAAATATTTCAAACCAGAAAGATCTGCTAAATGAATTTAATAATCGGTTCCACATATTTCTCATAACGAGGGAAATCCGAAAGATATACGATTTTTCAGATACTTCCACTTCTTCAACTCTCACGGTCTCCTGAGCGGAACCTCCTAGCGGTCTCATGAGACTGCGGCCATATTCCGTCAAATCCCTAGCGGTCTTATGAAGTCGCACCCACCCATACTTTAACCTATAAAAATTTATATATAGAGACTGTTTTCTATAAAGAAGTTTTGTATAATCTAAAAAAAAAGCTGTTATCCTATGAATATATATTTATAATCTACGTTTATTTCGTACGCCATTTCCACGTGAATATTATTATGTTTTTAATTTTTTCTAGAATTTTATTATTGTTTTAGTATAGTGTTTTATTATAAAATTGTAACGAAAGTTTTAGTGTGAATATGATTTATCTTTTCAGACCACAAGATAGAGAATTTTGTATAGATTTTACTATGCTAAACTTCTTCATGGAAAAGTAGTCTATAAATATAAGCTTTAATGATTTTAATTGCTGTGGGTGGGTGCGGTCGCATGCGACCGCTCGGGATTTGCCGCGCGCATGCGACTGCATGGGATTTTTATTGCGCTTGAAGGATTAAATATTGGTACCAGAAGTGCTGTGAGTCAAAGTGCTAGAGAAACTTTTGTTGTCGTTGTTGCCACTGACCCAGCAATTTCCACGAATTGTGAGAGAATCGGATATGCAACGAATTGATGACGAGTGGAGTTTGCTATCAAATGTAAACAAACTTTCAGAATTAGAAATAGACATAAGGAAAAAACATGAATTTTGAGCAAATGTCCAAGATACTACAGGCTGCAAAATATTCGCAAACTTTGCTCTAGATGTATTATTTCTACCACATAGCAATGCAGATTGCGAAAGTTTTTAGTGAATTAAACAATATGAAAACAAAATCCAGAAATAAATTGATAACATCCACCGTCAACGGAGCTCCATTAGCAAGATAGGCGGTTAAAAATCAAAGAGGTTGTACGAAATTTCAGGCGCCAAATGATATATGTAAAAAATTGAAAAGCAAAGAAAAATATTCATGCATAGATAAGCGAGTGATATTTTCAAAACAATCAGAAACCTATACGGTGAAGACATTTCAGATTTTATGTGATTTATTTAATTATTCGTAGAAATAAATACTTTACTCTTTCTCGCTCTGCTGAGCACGCCAAGCTTTTTAAAGGCCAATTTGGCCTTCCTCTCCAAGTGACCACAAAACTGCACACTATTCAATATGTCGACGCCGAGGATTCTGATGCTAGCTGAGGCAGCAAGGGGAGTGCCTTCAAACTGAGGAGACACGACAAAGGGGTTCTTTTTAGCGGTCAACTGCTACTCGAGATCTCGACAAATGCGTATTGAAAATTCGTATAGCTGAATTGATATCATGATTACCAGGATATAGTTTCATAATATTATTATGTAAAGCAAATGCTCCGTCAGACAAATACGTAGGGAATGTCAACATTATCAGTACCGGAGAATGGACGTAGCTTGGGAAGATTCAACCTGCTAGATGCAATTTTTGGCCATAACGAAGAATTTTTAAATACACCTCCGTCACTGAACCTGCCTTGACTGCCAATGTCAGCATACATTAAATTATTGTTATTGTCGACTAAAGCTAATAGTACTACACTGAATGTCTTCTTATAATTTAAGTACTCATAACTAGAGTTAACTGGACATTGTATTATTATGTGCTTCCCATCCATTGACCCAAGAGCATGTGGAATTTTTTTTTGAATCCCTTTTCAACTTCTAACCACTGCTGCTCGTTGACCGGCATCTGTGAACAAAAAGTATATGTATGGTGTATGCCTATAATTCTATTTCAGGATGCTGAAACTGGTACACTCTAGAAGGAAAATAATGCTTCAGGGGAAGTCGAACCAATAACAAACTATCATGTAATGAATATTGGTCATCGAGATACTATCGACTACGCACTAGAGCGGCTATCTGTAAAAAAAAATTGCAGTAATTATGGTAATTTCGTAACTTTACTTTAGCTACACCGTTAAAAAAATATTATGCCGTCTAGTCAAGCGTCACACAACAGGTAGCGCTAGATTGCTGAAAGGTGTACTTAGCAAGCTCAATTCTCGCGAGAAATGACGTAAACGCCGCCGAAACCGCGTCGCTTACACGTTTTGTTCAAGGTA